TCTCCAGGAAAACAGGGCTCCATCACACATAATAGTGACCTGGGAGGACAAACACCATCACTCCAGCATCCCCCTTCCTTCTTCTTCCTCCAGCTTTATACACTAAGACATCATATGGTATGGAATACCCCTTTGGTCAGCTGGGGTCAGCTGTCCTGGTTGTGTCCCCTCCCAACTCCTTGTGCACCCCCAGCCTTCTTACTGGAGGGGTGGTTTGAGCAGCAGAAAAGGCCTTTGCTTCGTGTAAGTGCTGCTCAGCAATAACTAAAACATCCCTGTATTATCAACACAGTTTCCAGTACAGATCCAGACCATACTCCTATACTAACTACTATGGAGAAAGTAAAGTCTACCTCAACCAAAACCAGCACAGAGGACTTCGGTTCTCTCAAGTCAGACTTCAGAAACACAAAACTATAACAAGATCAAAAGAACATCTAGAAATACAGCCAACCAATGTCCTAGGATATTCACTCTGTCTTTAAAGGAAGACTTCAAACAAAAACTGTATTTAAATGTGTCTTTAAATAAGAGAAAGTTGGGCCCAGTCTCCTGGTAGCAGGAAAAACTAGCATCACATTGGTCTCATTTATCATAGAATAGTTTGGGTTGGAAGAGACCTTCAAAGCTCATCGAGTCCAAGCCCTCTGCAATGAGCAGGGACATCTTCAGCTGGATCAGGTTGCTCAGACCCACATCCAGACTACACATTTAACACCTAAAAACGGGAAACTGTTGCACCTGGTGGTTCTAGTGAAACACGAAGGTTTACAAATAAAAACCCACCCCACTCAGTTATGAAAGCCCCACTGGCACTTTTTCTTCAAGGGCAGAATACAGCCACCAGCACATACAAGATCCTCTTTCAATCAACACTTTATCAGCATTTTCTCTTATGGACCAATTATTCTTCTATTCTGACAATTTTATACTTACTTACATGCCTGAATATAGTCTTACCTGTTCTTACACAGTGCGATATATGGCACTTTAAAGAGCTGGGCTTTTGAGTGACTGTGTTTATCAGCTGTTCCAAGCCTGTTTTGGTGAAATGTTGCCAAGAAAAGCACAAAAACACATTGGTAAAACGCTGCAAAAGCACAAAAAACTAACACAAAGATGAGAATTAACAAACTCTGAAGAATCACTAAACCGAAAGTTTGCTGTAGATTTGTGCTTTCCAAAGCAGCACCCAGGGATCCAATCACCACACACTACTGTCAGTGGCATCATGATTACAGATATATTCATGCTGGTAAACTCCCAGTTATTCTGAAAGCAAGAGCTCAGAGCTCAACATTCCCAAGTAATTAAATGCCAACAGCATTTGGAAAACCATTCCTCTAAAAGGCAGGAAGGGGAATCATAACCATGGATTTAGACCCAGGACTTGAAGATGTCTGCATCCAGAGCCACTTGAGGTGCCCACAGGGGCACACGCAGCCCAGTGGGTACCTGCCTGGCACCACCAGCAACCAAATCTCTGTTTCCCTTCAGAGACGCCTCCTTCAACCCAGTCAGCAGCTTACTTAGTAGTCAAACACTGACAGCTTCCACACCTGCCTTGACAAAGTCCGTGCTGGCCAGCTCTTACTTATGTTGTGTAAATTAAAGTTTTATAGTCAAAAGAGGCGTGGATACATTTTACATCCACATACCCTGAAAAATACAACCAGAAAAAACATTTCCAAGCGTGCTGAAAAGCAAGCAGAAACTGTAACTGTTTTTTTCCAGGTCTCTGCATTACCTCTGAAATTACACACCAAAATAAAGCTTTCAACCCTAAGGAATCAAAAACAAACTGAGCTTTCACCTCTCAAGCAGAGATGTGCAGCACATTTAAAGTATATCGGGGGGCTGGTTCATGTGAAATGATTTCCATCTCTGCACTTCCTGGTTGAAGCAACAAGAGTCAGAGGCATCAAAGCCTCGCCAGAACAGATTCACAAGTGTTTACTTCAAATTGCTGGAGAAGGGAAGCAAAGACAGCAGGGTACCTTCAGCACTGACCCAGCATCTTGCTCAGAGGTTTCAGGCAGTTATTTCCCTCATCTATCCACAAAGGGAAAGTAAAGCCTACATATAAACTGTGAACCCTCAGAGGAAAGGCGCTGTGGAATCACAGCATGGTGCTTTAAACTTCCGAAGCACCTGGATGTGACCGCAGCCAGCATTTGCCAGAGTCAGGCAGCTAAACAGAAATGCATGAGCAGCTGATTTTGGAAACCTGGGACTGAACAAGACATCCCAGGACACCAAGTCCACCCTTCTGTTGCTGCCACTGAAATAAACTCTCCTCATAATCTTTCTTGCTGCCTTTCACCATGCTGGAGCTATTTCACAACCTTTGGGTTTAACTTAGCTTATTTATGACTGCCTTGCATGTTTCTTCTTGTGACTGTGTTTTTATTTTAAGAAGCTCCTTCCTTCTCGTGGTGTTTACAGCCAGCCCCATTCTCTCTCCAACTTCATTTTGCCAGGGACTTACTTAAGCTTTCAGTCTCTGCTCAGAAAATAACCTGTTCCCTAATCATTCCTGGCCCTGCTCCAGTTCAAGTTTATCTTTCTCAAATGTGGGTGACTGGCTCTGCATAAACTATTACAGATAAGATGGCAGGATGTAAACAGCATTAATACTGCTTTAATTTTTAAGGGAAGAAACTCTCCTGATTCATCCTGGAACACTGACTCTTTCATTCCCAACTTGCAGCAGAAACTCACAGGTTTAAATCCCCAGTGGCACAAAGTACCACACTCAGTACCGCTTCTGTTTCTCCACTGCTCAAGGCTAATCCCAGTTCTCCCATGGTCTAACCCCCTTTGTCACAACCATCCCTGCCAACTGCGTTTTACCAGCACACGTTCCTGATGTACCCATGTGCTTTGCGCCAGGCTCACAAAAAGGCCATGGCTGGTCCACCATCTCTCTCCCTGAAAAGCTTCACTAACAACCTCTCCTCAGCCCAAACAGTGCTAAAAGGGAAGTACTACTACCTTCTCCTTAAGGTCCTCCACTTGATACCAACTCCTTTCCCCAGTTGGGTAAGGGCCTTCTGCAGACCAGTCCTAGGTACTGCACTTGCTCCTTAATGCTCTTTCCAGCCTTCTACTGGCAGCTTTTTCTTGGAGACTATCAGGCTACCTGGATTTTTACTTTTAGCTAACACAGCCCCACATCATCTTCTATTCAGAAGCAGCAGCATTTCTTCTCCGAATGGCAGACCTCTGCTCACCACCATGTCACCAGACAGGCATCCTTACAGTGCTACTGCCAAATACCTTCCAGTTAGATAAAAGCACAACCTTGCACATTGAATTGCTGGCATTTCCCATGCAGCTAAGCCGATTCTGCTGTTGCATACATGACCAAGGTGTCTAAGACAGACCGACACCACTCACAGCACCATGAAGGCTGATTCCTGTTCACAGCCTTCTTGCCAGCAAATAAGCCACCCAGCTGAGCTTGCCATAACATTAACACATAGCCTGCATAGACATTTTTAGCCATTTTGCAATTACGTATGATTAAAACATTTTTAAAACTACAGATTGTGACAAGTCTGTGTATTCAAATCAGCGTCTCCTTTCCCTCCTTTTCAATATAAAATGCAACTCCACAACTCCCTCAGTAACTGGAAAATTAATAATCGTCATATCACATGGCTGAATACTCTAATTAAATCAGACTAGATCTAACCAGTACTCGGATGGACTCCTTGCAAGGCAAAGGCAAGACAAGTCTGAAGAAAGGCATGGCAAGGAGCTCTAAAGAGTCAGGATCTGAGCAATATGCAAATCCAGAAGGCAGTGACTACCAATTATCATCTTCTGTGGCACATTTCCAGAAGCAGTAGGTGTATTCCTGGCCAAAACCCAGCTCTAATTATACAGTGTCCACCCACTTCAGAATTTCAACTGCAAGTTATTTTTCATGTTCTCTTTATAAAATGTATTGACTAGGGTTACTGGCACAGAACAACTGATGCCTCCTGTCCAAGACCCGGTGCATTTGAAATGTATGACCCAAACCAAGTTGCTTTTATTATTTCTCATCATATTATTTGGACAAAAGACAGTATATTATTAACCAGAATTGACTAAGTCAAGGAGAAGCTTCACTGTAAAGAAACAAAGCTATGTATCACATCCAAGTTTTTACCAAGCTTCAATTTCTTAAATCAATGCAGATTGACAGCTAAACCTCCAGGGTCTGCCATCTGCCAGAAATGCTCCATACATCCGTCTTTGTTCCAAAACTGCCTTACTTGGGCAGCAAAGATCTGATCAATACCAAGATGAGCAATGGCAGTGACAAAACAACACCCATTCCCAGGCTGAAATGCCTGATTATCTACCGGTTTTCAGTGGCAGAATGGAAATACATTATTCCTGATACCCCAAACCACATCTCTGAAGGCTGAAGCACTGCTGAAGCCAGTTAATTTGAGAATGTTTTCACAGTAACTAAAATCAATGCTTTTAAGTCTTAGCCTTCAACAGAGAATCTGATACTTTTCTTCCCCTCTAGTGACTGCAGCCTATGCATCCCCTTATTCCACTGCAGCCTTCCTATTCGTTTTATACTAATTTCAATAAAGCCAGAACTATATGAAAAGGTTATGCAGAAGGAACTGGTGTAAAAGAAAGATTCCCTGAAGTGATGAAACATGTTTTTTAAAACACCATGACACATTGGGAAGGAGGTGTTTTCTCAAGTGTTCCGTGCAAGCCCTAGCAAAAGCATCTCAATCGGTTGCTGGGCTGAAAAAGTAAGTCAGTTTGAGATGTAACAGAGATAAACAGACACCCTCTACTAGCTAATGCCTCTCACCTCCTCTCTGTGTTGCAATGCCTCCACTTCCTGGACATGCAAGTTACACGTATAAATAGTGTTGGGCTGTGTTTTTTGTTGTTTAAAGAGCTGTTATTCTTACATAGTCACTGGCTACTGTTAACAGAACTAACAACTGTACATTTAAATAAGCCATATAAATACTTACCGACCAAATAATTATCATCCTTCTAGACACAGAGTGATCTATGTTCCAGTAAGTAAATGGAAGGAAAGTGATATAAAAAATCTCTTCACCCAAAGCAGCTGAAAACTTGAACAGGTAGTAGTAGAAGTAGTTCTTCACAACATACTTCTGTCTGCAAGCCTGGAAATGAGAAGATTTTAGAAAGTCTTTGTGAATTAGCAAATCATAGCAAATATTTCAGACTTTTTAACTGTTACAGTACCCAGCCCTTAAACCAAACAATTTGTTGGAACAAGTATCAAGAAATGAAGTTTAACTTTTTTACTAAGATGAAAGCTATAATGATAGCTCAACTACATTTGCTGCAGATCAGAAATTTACTCAAACTAATAAGGGGAGCAGTCACACTGACAAAGATTTTTCAAGAGACTGGATCAGTTTTTCCTCCAGGGAAATCAAGTATATTTCACTAAAGGGCAACAATGCACCAATTTTGATTTTTCTACAACTGCAGTTAAAGGGAGCTACCATTGCATTCACTGGAAATTAGTTCTGAGATGAAAAATAATAAACTGCAGTTACTGAACCATTTCATTTAAAATTTGCCTCATTATAGCAGGCAAATTTACCCTGATAGTCCCCGAAATCCACTGTCAGGTGCTGCTGCAACAGCATCCCCTGCACTGCTGTCAACACAGGCCTCTTCAACACGGTCCTGACCTCATGCTTCCCCACAGCGGGATGCTCACAGGGTCACCCTGCAGAGAGATACCTTAGCTGCAAGCTACATGGGAGGTGGCTGAGCAATTGCAGCTCATGAGCAGATCTGGGGGTAAACAAGGCTGTGAGTGGGCAGAGAGAAATGCTGCCCCCATCACCACCAAATTTGCACTTGAAGTAACCACCACCAGGTTGTGTCTCTACACATTACCAGCAGATATATTGCAAGTGGCATCAGGTGGCACTGTTCAGGACTTTATCAAGCTAGAGATTTCACTTTTCTCTGTATCTGGCAGCTAGATGATTTCACTAGATGTACCCCACCAAACACACTCATTTTCTCTTTTCTAAAAAGCTGTAGCCAGCCCACCAGAGATGGGAAGCCACACAGCAGTTTATATTAGTAAGTCCATGATGCTGGTTACTTGTGGAAGGGTTTGTAGCTGCTAGTACACCACTAAGAAGCCTTCTGCCTGTTAGCAAGAGCAACATGCAAGTCAATCGCATTTTATATAAATATCTGTACACTTCAGAAGAAAAAGGAGATATTGATATACATATGAATAAGACTTTTGATTTGGGGGGCAGAGGCAAGGGAGATAATCTAGTCTCTCTCCATCCCCCCCAAAATAAAGTAAAAAATAAATATTGAAGTTGGCTATGTAAATATGTGATGAAAGAGCTTTCTAAAGATGGGACCTGAGAAAGGATCATGAAGGTTTCAGTACAGACACATTAAGTTAAGATGTAGCCTTAACACAAGCTTCTAAAACTCTTCTAAGAGAAAAAATATTATGCTTGGATTGACTAGTATACCAGAGAGAAACTCATCCTACATGCTAGTGAGAAAATGTAAAAACTGTCTAAGGAGTCTAGACATGCAATTATGACTCATTGTAAAAGCCATTAGAAGTTCCAGTCTCTTAATCCGTTTTCAATATGGAGATGAGGCAAACTGCATGAAGACAACAAAAGCAAGATGGAAAGAAGCTGCATCCATTCACCTGTTGTAGGAAAAACACCACAACTTAAATTGACTTTTGCATCAACAAACAGAAAAGATGAGTCATAGGAGTGTTCCCCCATGTATTAATAATAAAGGTCACCAGTGAGTTACTGGCATCCCTCTAAAATAATGCAGAAGTTTGCTATGGCTGGCTGAATGACAGAGCAATCAGCCTAAGTGCAATTAGCAACTCTGATGCTTCTGTCTGAGATCCTGAAACTGTATTTGGTCACACTTAACATGGCCCCAGAGAAAGCCCTCTTCTAGCATCGCTAATTCCTCAATTAAGCATCAGTCTCCAATGTATTAGGAATTATGTGCTCTGGTGCTTTTGATCACAGATGGTCACACGTATCCCTAAGGTAACGCTTTTATACTTAGAACCTCATGGGATGAGGGATAAAACTTTCTAATTCCAGTAATCTCTTCAGTGGGGGAAAAAAATAATTTTTCAGGATTTTAAAAAACCCTGGAGTTCACAAATATTCTGCCAGCGGAAGGCAGAGCCAAGTCCTTCCACACCATTCTCAAAACCTTTCTTTGTCTTTGTGTCAGAAATCACCCCTCACTTGTTCGGTTTTGGGTTTTTTTTTAGTTGATTGTTTTGGTTTCAAAACTTTTTTTTAGCACTACACCAGCAGTTGTGGACAGCCCAGCATGTGAGGCAGGGGACGCAGTGATCATACCTGTGACACACGATGATGACAGCCACATGCTAGGCACTCAAGGTGTCACAGAATCTGTCCACTTAATTTTAGGTAGTGTCCAGTAATAAAAATCCAATGTTTTCAATCACTGCAATACTAAAGCATTGTAACACAGAAAGCCCCCTCTGCTTATGTTTATGTTTAGCTCCTTCTAACACTCAGAAGTTTATTCAATCTTTTCTTTTAAACAACTCTGATCTTCATTCTTGGTTAGTCTTAATGTACTGAAGCAACCTGATGCCTTCCACAGTCTCTGAAGCACTTCCAGTGAGAGTTAGCCCCTCCATCCATCTCCATTACTACTCAGTCTGGATCAGAGAGGTTTTAATGGTCAGTAATTAGGGCTGTAGAGAAAATGAGAATTTGCAGAACATTTCAGAAGCAAGGTGCAATGACCCACGTCATTCGCAGACACAGAAGAGAGGTAATTTCACAAAAACAGCCCTCCTCATCAACTGTAAAATAGTTCTTTTGAAAAACCTTAGCTACTCCAGTTACAAGAGATTCATATGAATGTGTGAGTCTCCATAAATTAACTCCTCCCTGAAGTACGGGCACAGAAAATGGCCAGTGCAGGTCATCCTAATTTCACAGTCTCTGCACACTAGTCCTGCATGGATCACACACAGCAGGTGCTGCAAGAGCATCCCCAAAACCTCCCTATGGAGCAGTAATGACAGGGCAAGCAGAGCAGATCAAACCACCACCATGGTGACTCTTGGGACACACTAACACACGATGACACAGCACAGCAGCAATCCATAATCTTAGAAAGTACCTACATGAGGAATATTCTGTAGCTGAAGTGAAGGAACAGCAGCTGAACCACTAATATAATTGATTTAAAAATGCATCTTTAGGCAGAGGTATACCCCCTAAAAGACAGGGGTGGGCGAGAAGCTGTGTAAAGATACCACTCCTTCCAATTCCTGTAGGATCTCTCGTCAGAGAGCTAAACAGGGACCGGCTTTCCCTGCCCCGTCTCTTGAGACAAGCTTTGCAGCATCAGACTTCTAAGGCTCAGCTCCTGACCCAGAGATAACATTAACCAACTTTTTGTTCTCGGCTCTCAATTACTTCAGATCTTACGGAAGACGTGAATGTTTAATTAAAGTTCTTTAAGTCCCTTGCTTCCCTACCAACAGAATTGCCTTGCAGAAGATCAGGCATTTCCCTCCCAAAGCTGCTGGTTAATGCACTGCAATACTCCTGTAAAGAATTTTAACACTGAAAAAAAAGGCACAACATTTAGAGAAGCCACCAAGGACCAGGCACAAGGAAAAAAGCCAAAAATTCCCATCTAGATGCTGCTGTGCAGAGAGACAATATAAATCAGACAACTGACTCCTGCAGGGCACTGCTGTGTGGAGTATTACCAGTGGGGGAAAAAAGCCTTCTGTACTGCAGTATTCTGAATAAGCAACCAGTTTTATGCCACCTTCTATGCTTATTAACTGTATCCAGTCAACAAAAGAATCCATCAGGTCACAACAAAAAATTAGAGATAGGTGATCAGATTTTGGAAAACAAAAAAAAAAAAAGCAAAAACCACAATATCAAAGGCTTCAGCTCTTCCATCCATCTGCACAGTGGAATGTCAGACAATTACAGAGGTTTCTGAAGATCCAACAGGCAGCTGAGAGCAGCCAGGAACATCTCCAGCCCCTATGAGTTCACCTTTCCAGAAAGAAGCAACACTGGAAACTCATCACTCCAAGAGGAAAGAACAGGGTGCCCCAGCAACGGATGCTGGTGTGGTCATGAACTGCTCACAGGGAGGGGTGGCGGGTACAGGGCTGGTGATGAGGTGAGGGAGGAGGAAAAGGAGGGATACACACACATAGGAGAAATTGCAGAGATACCTAAGACAGCAGAGAGGAGGGCAGCAGGACATGGAGCCCACAAAATGCACACAAGGAACCCCAAGGTATGGAGAAATCATGGAGAACCAAGCTCATATATGCGTGCAGCTTTTCCACTCTGTTCAAGCACTTTTAATATCAATTTATTCTTTTTCACCCTCCCCAGAGTGTGATGCAGCCACTTAACAAGGGTTGTCCATGTTTACATAATGTCTTTGTTGTTGCAGACACCCTGAGCTAACTGAAACCTGAGAAACATGGGGATGGAGACAAACACATCACAAGAAAGCCCTCCTGAAACACCATAAAGTTCTGGCCAGCTCTGCTATTAGCAGAAAGTGCTTGTTGACTAGCATACAAATCAGCAACTCACAGCTGTTGTACAAGTATTTACAGTGGCTTGCACTAATGGCATAACGAGTAGGGACATGGCCTTGAATCATCACTTGATGAAGCAGCAAGACAATCACTGCATGAAAAGTAACAATATGTGAGCTTCAAACCAGACAACCATAGTATTTTCAGTTCAATTGTCTCAGGCAAAGAATAAGTGGGAGTCTAGAAACCAGTCAGACTTCTAGTAGCATTTCAGCAGTTTCTCAGTTCATTCAAAGCACCAAAAAAGGCCATCATGTAATGCTTTCAGCAAGGTACTCCAGCAAAGCAGTGCCACACAGCCAGAGGCACCACAGATGGCTGGTGGCTGAAAAGGGTCCAACCTTTGCAGTACCAAAGCCTGAGACCATTCAAGTAGGAAACAAAAGTGTGCCCAGAACTCCCACCAGCAGTGCCAAACTGGGTGCAATACTCACCCAGTTAACCTCTCTCACACCATTCATGTCTTTATTCAAACTTTCCCCTTCAGGCTGTAAAAGATGGTCAGCC